CGTCAGGCCTGGGCAAGGGGCCGATCCTGCGATTGGAGGGTGATGGGGGTCAACACCTGAGGGCTCCCAGTATGTGAGAGGGGGCAGGCTGGGCTGAGGGACACTCCCCCCCCCACACACACACCAAGTGCACGAATTTCGTGCACCGGGCCCCTAGTATATGTATAAAATTGATTTCAGAGAGAGGAAGGGAGAGGGGCAACAGAGAAGAAACATCAATGATGGGAATCATTGATTGGCCACTTCCTGCATGGATCAACTGAGGATCAACTGCAATCTGGGCATGTGCCCTAACCGGAATCGAACTGTGACTTTCTGGGTTATAGGTTGATGCTCAAACACTGAGACACACTGGCTGGGCAATTTTCAGTCATTTTCAACCTTAAACTCATTAAAACATTTTTTAAAGTTTATTTCATAAGACCTCTTGCTCTCTTCCTATTTCCTGGCTGCTCCTTTTAAATACATTTTGATGGATTTCGTTTTTCTCTGACCACTACTAGTTGGATTAGAGAGCTCAGTTTATAATTGTTTCTCTTTTTTTCCACATTAGCTAACTGAGCACTTACCATCCCATGGCTATCTATACCTTTTACACCTTAATAACTCCCCAAATAATACCACCAATTGTTCCTTCTCCTGGGAGCTTCTGATCTGTATTTCAATGGTTTACTCAGCAGTTTCATTTGTAATCTAATAGGCATCTCCAGCTTAATAGGTCTAAAATAGTAACTGGGTATTCCCCCAAAAAACCTGCTCCTGTGCCTTCACCCCCAGGAGTTCTATCTCAGAAAATGGCATTGCTATTTATCCTGTTGCTCCAGTCTGACATATTTTTTTTTATCTTGGACCCCAAATTCAATCTATTAGCAAATCACTTCTGCCACCTTCAAAGTATACCCAGAATCTAACCGCTTCCTACCACTTAAACTGCAACACTAGCTTTGTAGGCCTGCAATACCTTCCTAACTAGTCTTTTAGCTTCTATTTTGCCTTCCTGCAGGCAGTTCTTAAAGAATCAACCAAAGTAAATTTCTTCATTGATAAATCATATCATGTCACTTTTTTATGCAAAACCCTCCATGGTTTCCTAGCACTCTTAGGGTAAAATCCTTTCCTTCATTCTATAAGTCCATAATTCATCTGCCCCCCCCTCTTGTTTCTCTAAACTAATTTCCTACATGCTCTTTTGCTTTCTTACTGTTCTCTGAATACGCAGCACCTAGAACAGGACCTTACATGTAGTAGGAATTCAATAGTTGTTGGATAGAATAAGTGAATGGAATGGTAGGGCATTTGATAGTTACTTTGTGTTCTAGCACTCTTCTAGATGTTTGGGTTACAAAGATGACAAAGACCCTGCTCTCACAGAATTTTATTCTAATATATTTAGATAAAAAATATGTAATTATACGTTAAATGTTACAGGTAAAAAAATATTATGAAAGCCCTGGCCAGTGTGACTCAGTTGGTTGGACGTCATCCCATGCATGGAAAGGTTGCTGGTTTGATTCCTGGTCAGGGCACATGCCTGGGTTGTGGGCTCAATCCCTGGTGGTGGTTGTGCAGGGTACCATTTTCTTTTCTTAGTGTGTGCGTAAAAGGTATCATCTTAGTTGGAATGGTCAAGAACTGCCTCAGGCAGTATTTGAGGAGAGATCTGTGGAGATTAAGTGGAGAGCTCAAGTCCAGTAAAGATCTGTTGTAGGACTGTAACTTGGTGTAATCACTATGGAAAACAGTATGGAGATTCCTCAAAAAATTAGAAATAGAGCCACCATATGACCCAGCAATTCCACTTCTGGGTAATTTATCCAAAGAAAACAAAAAGACCAATTTGAAAAGATATATGCACCCCTGTGTTCACTGGAGCATTACTCATAATATGGAGGTAACCTAGGTGTTCATCAATAGATGAATGGATGAAGATGTGGTATACAAACAATGGAATATTACTCAGCAATAAAAAAGAATGAAATTTTGCCATTTGCTACAACATGAATGGACCTACAGGGTATTATGCTAAGTGAACTAAGTCAGAGAAAGACAAATACCATATTATTTCACTTATATGTGGAATCTGAAAAACAACAACAAATAAACACCACAAAACAGAAAAAGACTTATAGAGTACAAGTTGGTGATTGCCAAAGGGGTAGGAGGTGGAGGTGATGGAGGAAAAGCTTGGTTTTGGCCCAAAAATAAATGAAATGAAACCAGTGTTCTTACTAGTATACTGTAATTGTATATGTGGAAACCCAAAGGAATCCACAAATAAACTATTAGAATTAGAAAGTTTAGCAAGATTGCTGGATACAAGAACAACATATCAAAGTCATTTGCATTTCTAATATCTGAAGAAAACAATCTTAGATGAACATTTTAAAATATATATATTTTTAGTGATTTCAGAGAGGAAGGGAGAGGGAGAGAGAAAAACATCAATGCTGAGAGAGAATCATTGATTGGCTGCCTCCTGCACGCCCCCTACTGGGCATGGAGCCCGCAACTCAGGCTTGTGCCCTTGACTGAAATCCAACCTGGGACCCTTCAGTCTTCAGTGGGAGGCTCTATCCACTGAGCCAAACCGACTAGGGCTAGATGAATATTTTTAAAAAAGAAAACAAGTGCAAAAGCCCGGGGCTGGAACATGCTTCCGCTGGAGTGACACCAAAGGCCAAGGCTAGAGTAGAGCTAGGCAGCGTGGGAGAAGTCAGGGAAATAGGTGCCAGATCCTGGAAGCCTGTGCTACAGGCTACTGTGATCATTTTGATCCTTACTGTGTCATGAGCAGCTTGGAAGTTTTGACTTGACTTACAGCTTAAAAGGACACCCTGGCTGCCCTATGTTTAACGAGGACAATAATGGAAGTAGGCAAATCTGCTAGGTGCCTATTGCAACAGTCTAAGTGATGACTTATTGTGGAGGGTAGCGGTACGGGAGGTGAGGTCAGATTCTTGCACCCTGGCCTTTTGATCAAAAATCCTCCACCCGGGGAGGCGGGGGCAACCTTGTCAGGGGTCTCCTACATGCTTTCTCTTCGGAAGCAGAGTATGCACTCCTGGGCCCATTCTTGGGAACCCTCAATATCCCACCCCACGTCAGAGAAAGAGCTACAAGTCAAGGCTCCGAACCCCTTCTTTAAAAATGGATACACGGAGGCTCTCGGGGTGAAGTGGGCCTCGAAGATATAGAAGCCACTTATGGAAATAGTCCTCAAAGGAAATCGGGTTTTTGGAAAAAATCTGGCGAGAGAACTGCTTGTTCCCAGTATTCAGAAACAGAGCAGAAATGGAGGTCGCCCGGAAAGTTGCCCATCAGAAATACATTTTATTTCCACCCCGACTCAGGGAGGCCGCTAACTCAGATCTGCCTTGCGTGTCCCGAGAGGTATGCGCGACCCTCCAAGAACTGGAAAATAATCAACTTTGCCTCCTCGGCAATGCGCACGCGTGCCGCCGTGTTTTCCATTGGCCGTAAGCCCCGCCCCTCACGCGTCCTTCGAGGAGGTTGGGAAGCCGAGAGCTCGCGCGACCACTCTCCCCTCCGGCTCCTCCACGGCAGATCGTCGCAAACGGGGCCGGAAAGCGTGGCGGCGCAGGCGCAGGCGCAGAGAGCGGAGGCGGCGGTGGCGGCGGC